TAATGTAAGTGCTTCATTGGCTTTCCCTTGAATTTTGTTCCTGATTGCTCTTAAGAGTAATACACCGTAGGGTGTTTGGTCTGCACCCCGAATCAGCATAATTCTCTCCTCGACGCTTTCGATAAAGCTTTCTAAGTTCCCTGGTGGTCCGTTGTAGGTGGGTAATTGGCTGATAAAGGCGAAAAGGTCAGTAGGTTTTAGGTTTGTGGATAGGCTGGTCATGGTGCTAACCGTAGGGCTAAGTGGTCTACCGGAGTCGGCAGGGGTTTCCATGTTTATAATCGGACTCGGACTCGGACTCGGAATCGGGTTCACTAATATTTCTTCTTCCCTAATCTCAGGGAGGCTATTTTAATTTTGAGTTATATATTTTTTTTCTTTATGTATTTATTACGTATTATGTATTATATTTATGTATACTCTCACGTCTTTGTACATTTACTTTTCTTTTTGTTTTTGCACTGCGCTGTTGTTGCTCAATTAATTTATTATACATATATATATATATATATATATATTTTTATATTTTTTCACTTGCATTTGTATGTCTTTCACATATTTGTTATTCCGCAGGGTGCACTTTTCCACAGATTTACCTACCTCTTACAGTGTGGTGAGAACGACCAGCGTAGTGGGCATCATATCCCGCTAGTTCTTTTCCCGGCTGCGCCAGTTATGTGTAGAGGAGGTTATCGGTGTGGTCCAGTGTCCCTCACGGAATTATTCCAGTGATATCTTCGGATTTGCTTGGTATTTTTATGCCCAAATAAATGATTCCAACTAGTCTTCTTGGTTCTTTAAACTGAACTGCCTGGTTTATTCTGTAGCTGACAATTATATATGTTTCTTAGTTGACTAAGAATGCAGCATAAGCATTCTGTACATTTGTATATATGAAGTTATGTGAGATGCCGGCCGGATGTGTGTTCCGCACTTCGGACTGCAATTGAATTCGTTCCAAATAGTCGTGGGGGCTTCTGCGGAGAGGGGGCTGACGTTAGCTGGTACGAGGAGTGGTTGACCGGTGGGTGACCGGTAACTAGGTGGGTGACCGATGGGTAATCGGTAACTCACGCGTCATGATTGGCAAAACAGCAGATCACCAGCTTCAAAACAACGCCTTAAGGAAGCAACCCGATCACTCGACCAGGCTCTTCACCATCAGGAAGAAAATGCACAGTTGAGGTACATCCAGAATCTCTCGCCAACAAGCACAAAGTACCCCCTGTGGGGGGCCCACCCGATAAGAAACTCTTCGGGATGCTGGTCTCGCAGCGATGAAGACCGAGCTGAAACATTCGCCACACATCTCCAAAGGGTCTTCCAGCCAAACCCAGCCTCAAATTAATTCCTCCTGCCAGTAATTCAGACAGAGTCCTCCCCTCAGCTAGCCGATCCTTCTATTCCGGCCGAACGAAGTCGAAAAATTCATAAGAAGGCTAAAACCAAAAAAGGCTCCCGGTGGTGACCTATTGACCCCAAAGATGCTGATCGAACTCCCAAAATGCGCTATAGAGGTCGTCTGCAAACTATTTAATGGAATCATTAATCTTGGCTATTTCCCAAAAAAGTGGAAGAAATCCATCATTATAATGATACCGAATGATAATGATACCTGGACAAGACCACACAATTCCGTCATCATACAGACCAATAAGCCTTCTATCTTGTTTGTCTAAATTCTTTGAAAAATGCTTGTTAACTCGCATAATACCACATCTGGAAGCTTGCAATATTATCCCGGCACACCAATTTGGCTTTCGAAGAAACCATGAAACCATCGAGCAAGTGAACAGATTAACATCCGGAATACGCTCAGCCTTCGAACATCGAGAATACTGTAGCGTTTTTTTTCTCGACGTATCTGAAGCTTTCGACCGAGTTTGGCTTATTAGACTCATGCACAAAATTAAAAATTTTTTGCCAACATTCTCAGTCAGATGCAACGCAGCTACTTCGGGCGACTACATCATCGAAGCTGGAGTTCCACAAAGAAGCGCACTCGGCCCGTGTCTATGACTGGCAGCTGTCCGACTGGCGCATTAAAATAAACGAACAAAAGTGTAAACATATAACGTTTACTCTTAATAGACACACATGCCCTCCGCTTTTACTAAACGGTATGCAGATCCCTCAAGCTAACGACGTAACGTACCTTGGCGTCCACCTTGATAGACGACTTACCTGGCGTAAGCACATCGAATGCAAGAAGATGCACCTAAAACTGAAAGCCAGCAGCCTCCACTGGATCATAAACTCACAATCGCCATGGTGCCTGGACTGCAAATTACTACTGTAAAATTTAGTCCTAAAGCCAATCTGGACGTATGGCTCCCAGCTGTGGGGGAACGCGAGCAGCAGCAACATAGACATCATACAGCGCGCACAATTAAAAATCTTGAGAACTATCACAGGGGCACCTTGGTGCGTTGGCAAAGAAACCAGCCACCGGGATCTGGGCATCCAGAAGCAAAAAGAGTCATACAAAGACATACAAAGAAATACTGTCTTCGCACCCAAATTTTCTCGCTCGGGAATTGACTCGGGTTTCTAGCGTATCCCGCCTGAGACGCAACGACCTCCCAACCCAGCAATCGATTTTTAGTGCCGTCTAACTCCGTATTAGTCAATATGACTGTTAGTTAAGTTAAAAATATAAGATTTGATACACCTCTTGTTAGTTTCGCAAAGAGAAGATTCAAGAAATAAAATGCAACGTTACAAAAAAAAAAAAAAAGCAACAAAGAATGCATTTATAAAAATTACAAGAAAGAAAAGCTAACTTCGGGCGGAGCCGAAGTTAATATACTCTTGCAGTTAAAACCGGATATATATCGACAAACATCGGATATAGTTGGCCGATACTTATGAAAATATGATAATATAATTCAAGTTATTATTATATAAAATCTAAAAAAAGTCACAAACTTCTATCTTCAAAAATACCAAAGCTGGTACTTCTACCAAAAACCATTTCCGATCGTTCAGTTATATGGCAGCTATAAGATATTTTAGTTTTAGTTTTTTTAAATTTGGGTTATATTATCATATTCTCATAAGGATCGGCCAACTATATCCGATGTTTGCGATATATATCCGGAAGTTAGCTTTCCTTTCTTGTTGGTTAGTGAAGTTCTAGAAGGAGATAGATATATCTTGAAGTCATTGCATAATAAAAGAACTTATAAATATTGTCATGATGATTTGAGAAAGATGCGAGATAGTTATGTTCCGAGTGAATTGGAGTGCCCGCCTGAGACTTATTGAAATGTTTATAATATATCCGTGTGAGAGGATATGTTATGTGAAAACCAAATGTCCATATGGTTGAAATGAAGTTGCAATAGACTTCGATAAGAAAATGTTTGTGAATAGCGGATGTGTTTGAGAATTCGAATGTAAATAACCTGGCGGATGCAATATTTATGCATGGTTGATGTATGACAATATTTGATTGAAATGTATGAGTTAAAACAAGAAAGGAAAGCTAACTTCGGGCGGAGCCGAAGTTTATATACCCTTGCAGTTAAAACCGGATATATATCGCAAACATCGGATATAGTTGGCCGATCCTTATGGGAATAGGAATATATAATCGAATTTATTACAATACAAAATCTAAAAAAAGTCCCAAACTTCCATCTTCAAAAATACGAAAGTTGATATTTCTACCAAAAACCATTTTCGATCGTTCAGTTATATGGCAGCTATGGGATATAGTCGGCCGATCCTAATGAAATTTGATAGGTTGGATCAACTGACCAAAAATAGAATCTGTATTAAATTCCAGCTTTCTATCTTCAAAAACACGAAAGTTGGGTCATTTCCGATCGTTCAGTTATATGGCAGCTATGGGATATAGTCGGCCGATCCTAATGAAATTTGGTAGGTTGGGTCAACTGACCAAAAATAGAATCTGTATTAAATTCCAGCTTTCTATCTTCAAAAACACGAAAGTTGGGTCATTTCCGATCGTTCAGTTATATGGCAGCTATAGGATATAGTCAGCCGATCCTTATGAAATTTGGCATGACGTAATGTTTTGCCAAAAGTAGCTCTCTTGTCAAATTTGAACTCTCTAACTCTAAAAACACCAAAGTTATACCATTTCCGATCAATCAGTTATATGGCAGCTATAGGATATAGTCGGCCGATCCGGGCCGTTCCGACTTATATACTGCGTGCAAAGGAAAGAAGGGTGTGTGCAAAGTTTCAAGACGATAGCTTTAAAACTGAGAGACTAGTTCGCGTAGAAACAGACAGACGGACAGACAGACGGACAGACGGACAGACGGACAGACGGACAGACGGACATGCTCATATCAACTCAGGAGGTGATCCTGATCAAGAATATATATACTTTATAGGGTCGGAGATGTCTCCTTCACTGCGTTGCACACTTTTGACCAAAATTATAATACCCTCTGCAAGGGTATAATATGGTAACAACGAAAGTTGGAACATGACGTGTGGCGCTCTTGACGGGACTATGCTCTTAATCAAAAGGAAATCATAATGACGATAACTAGAGGCGAATTTTGAATTGCTGAAAAGCAAATGGAATGAATGAAATGTTACAATGAATTTGATTATGTAATGAGAATAAGAATTAAAATTTGTTTATAATGTTGTGTAGGATGTAATGTAATGGCGGATTATGAAATAAAAGAAAATATTAGGTGTTAGGTAATATATCAAATAAATAAATGGTATTTGAAATTGATGAGTAAAAGAAAACACAAGCTACAATCGCATTTAAATATGGAAAATCTTAACGATAATCCGACATCGTTACATCTTGATCAGCATTTACAGCCCACTAATCGCGAATTTCTGTAGTGCCAGTAAAGTAAGGTTTCTTGAAAAAATTTGGATTCCAAACTTTTTCTATAGCTAGTATAAATCTGAAAACCAAATTGCAACCCAATCTCTATGGCCGACTATACACGACTATAGCCGTTCAATCTTGTTTGAATTAACTTTTATTAATAAATATAACCATACAATTTAATATGCATTAAATTTCCATGAAACTACCAACAGCGTAAATCGATTGCCAAAAGACTTTTAAAAAACTGTGAATAATAAGTTCTCATTAAGTTTTTTTCCATAATAGGTGAGTTGGTTTTTTTTAATATGTATGTGCAGCTTAGCAATTTGGGCATTGCTTATTTTTATGTCATGGATGTGATGGATTAATTTTTTTCAAAGTTTCAATTTCTTTGCCATTTGACAATTTGGGCCTTGCTTGTTTTAATTTGAAGAAACCTTGTGTGAATGAATACTTTTTTTATATTACATAGAACTGTCGATATCTACAGATGCAACAAAACAATTTGATGATGTACAAATTTCTTTTTGAGGCATTTTTCCCATTTGCATTAGCAGCTCTTCTATACGCTCAGTTTTAACCTTGATTATATTTTCCATATGAGCCAATCGTTGTTGATAAGCATCTATAATAACATCTTTGGACTGGCTATCACGGGCCATTTTTTCATAAAGGGAGTAAAGAATCATTTTTTGTGGCATTTGAACAATGCCATCACCAACCTGCTTGTTAATTACAACGGTTTTGACTTCATCATTTTCTTCCCATGCCTGTTCTTGTCGCAAAATGGCATTACGTTCTTCTGCTAAGCGCTGCCGTTTCTCTAATCTAATAACTTCATGTAACAAAACTTCTGCAGCCCCATTGATACCGTTAGCTAGGAGTTCCATTAACTCTTTACTTAACGTCATATTAAACTTAGAGAGCACTTTAAAGTTGAATGTTTCCCAGTTAGCCAATTTCAGTTGAACACTATTTTTTTTCGGGTAGTTGAATAGATCAATCAAGCGAGGATAATCGCGCTTTAATAATTCAGCAAGGGGCAGAACATCAGAAAACTCTCGCCTCAATCTGTTTGTACACACACTATTTCGTCTTAACCATTTATGTACCTCCTCCACTTCTTCACTACTTAAGTTCTTACGTCCAATAGTATGCATTACTGTTTACAAACTTTCGATCAATTTGCTTTTCGAATAGATACAAAATTGCTTAATTTTCTTTAATTTTCAATATTTGGGAATTTATATTTGTCGGGCCAAGTAAAATTAAAATCATAGCTTGCTTGTAATGTTAAAATTCTGAGAAATAGCACTTTAAATAGGGATAAATGAGTATTTTTTTTTTTTTTTAATGTGGCTTTTATTTCTTGAATCTTCTCTTTGCAAGAATAACAAAAGGTGTATCAAATCTTTTATTTGTAACTTTACTAACAGGCATATTGACTGATACAGAGTAAGACGGCCCTATAAATCGATTGGTCGTTGGGAAGTCGTTGCGTCTCAGGCGGGATACGCTAGAAACCCGAGTCAATCCCCGAGCGAGAAAATTTGGGTGCGAAGACAGTATTTCTTTGTACTCTTTTTGCTTCTGGATGCCCAGATCCCGGTGGCTGTTTTCGTTGCCAACGCACCAAGGTTCCCCTGTGATAGTTCTTTAGATTTTTAATTGTGCGCGCTGTATGATGTCTATGTTTCTGCTGCTGCGTTCCCCCACAGCTGGGAGCCTAGATTGGCTTTAGGACTAAATTTTACAGTAGTAATTTGCAGTCCAGGCACCATGGCGATTGTGAGTTTATGATCCAGTGGAGGCTGCTGGCTTTCAGTTTTAGGTGCATCTTCTTGCGCATTCGATGTGCTTACGCCAGGTAAGTCGTCTATCAAGGTGGACGCCAAGGTACGTTACTTCGTTAGCTTGAGGGATCTGCATACCGTTTAAAGAAAGCGGAGGGCATGTGTGTTTATTAAAAGTAAACGTTATATGTTTACACTTTTGTTCGTTTATTTTAATGCGCGGACAGTCGGACAGTCACCTTTCCACTATTGTGAGATGATTAGCCAGTTGGGTTGTTGCTTGCGTTGGGAATCTGGAGCTATTAAGGATAGCGATATCGTCGGCGAACGTAGACGTTGTTAGTTGTGCGTTCGTAGGAATATCCGCAGTATACAAAACATATAGACACGGGCCGAGTGCGCTTCTTTGTGGAACTCCAGCTTCGATGATGTAGTCGCCCAAAGTAGCTGCGTTGCATCTGACTGAGGATACCCCATTGTAGAGGTATGATTCCAGTAGCTTGTGGGTGTATGTTGGCAAAAAATTTTTAATTTTGTGCATGAGTCTAATAAGCCAAACTCGGTCGAAAGCTTCAGATACGTCGAGAAAAAAAACGCTACAGTATTCTCGATGTTTGAAGGCTGAGCGTATTCCGGATGTTAATCTGTTCACTTGTTCGATGGTTTCATGGTTTCTTCGAAAGCCAAATTGGTGTGCCGGGATAATATTGCAAGCTTCCAGATGTGGTATTATGCGAGTTAACAAGCATTTTTCAAAGAATTTAGACAAACAAGATAGAAGGCTTATTGGTCTGTATGATGATGGAATTGTGTGGTCTTGTCCAGGTATCATTATCATTCGGTATCATTACAATGATGGATTTCTTCCACTTTTTTGGGAAATAGCCAAGATTAATGATTCCATTAAATAGTTTGCAGACGACCTCTATAGCGCATTTTGGGAGTTCGATCAGCATCTTTGGGGTCAATAGGTCACCACCGGGAGCCTTTTTTGGTTTTAGCCTTCTTATGAATTTTTCAACTTCGTTCGGCCGGAATAGAAGGATCGGCTAGCTGAGGGGAGGACTCTGGCTGATTTACTGGCAGGAAGAATTAATTTAAGGCTGGGTTTGGCTGGAAGACGCTTTGGAGATTTGTGGCGAATGTTTCAGCTCGGTCTTTGTCGTTGCGAGACCAGCATCCCAAAGAGTTTCTTATCGGAGTGGTTTTTTCAATTGGGGCGCTAGGATTTGGGTGGGCCCTCCAAAGGGGGTACTTTGTGTATGTTGGCGAATGATTCTGGATGTACCTCAGCTGTGCATTTTCTTCCTGAAGAGCCTGGTGGTGAAGAGCCTGGTCGAGTGATCGGGAACGCGTGCGCCTCTTTTCTCCCACGAGCGGTTCGATTTGTTTATTAGATTTGTAGTATTTGTTTCGGTCTCTTTGTTTTCCCTTGAGGGTAAAGATTTTAGCTGCCGCAACGAGTACTTCTTCCAGGGCGCTCTTAGTGTAGTCGATGTCCGATTCCATGTTAAACTCCGGGCCGAGTTCTATGTGGGCACTTACGTGCTTTTTGTATTTTAGCCAGTTCGTTTTTGGCGTCGTCAGGCTGAAAGGGTGTTCCCACTATGAAATGAGTTTCTAATCTATTATCATACAGGATGAAGATGGCAAGTGAAATTAAATAGCCGATTTCTTTGGGATCACCAAAAACTATTTTAGGGCAACGGCTGTGGCAAAACATCCGCCCAGCTTTACGTCATCTGCTACAACTCCACCAGCGCAGTGACAACGGCCTTAATTAATTTGAATGTCGAAAACATTGCAAGAATCCCTTTTGTCCCACTTCCCGCTATTTCTTTCAATAGGTACTGGCCTTACTTGACTCACCCCTCTCGTTCGTGTCAGTGCTTCCCCACTGATGATGATGGGCGTTAGCATCGCAACCTATGATCAGGTCGATCTTGTGCTTCCTGCTGTCTTCCACCAGCTGATTAGCGGGTGCGGGGGGAGGGCCTCCTGGTTGTGGCCCATATACGCCGAACATATCCTTAGAGGGCCATTTGTGCTCTCTATGGCTGCGCCTTTTACTCGCCTTTTACCTGTAGTATCGGCTTTGCAGAGCCTAAACTCCGACGCCCCCAACCCAAGAATCTTGTCTCCTAGGATCCAGGGTTCCTGGATGAGGGTGGAGTAGGAGGGCAGCTGACGACGCTTTACTGTGGTGGAGGTTTATTTGCAAGATCGACAGGGACATCCTTACAAATCTCTACCGCAGTAATTTCTGCCTCCGTCTCGGAGCTCAGCAGTGAGTCCTCCTCCATTCCGACTCCTTGCCCTTGCCAAGTGCCCTTGCCAAGTCGCTTTCCTCCGAAGTGTACCCTTCCAGGATGTCCTCCTCCTCATCCGACATTCCTTCCGGGTGCCCCTCTTCGGTCGGCTCCTCCAAGTCTAGCTCTTGTGTGTCTGCCTCCAGACCGATACCTCCTGGCTTGGCCTTCGCATCGGATTTATAGATACGGACCGAAACATGCTCGAATCCGTACTTCAGCCGGTGCTCCGTCCTCTCCAGGGCTTTAACGGTCTCCTCGTTTAGTGTGAGGACGACCTGCCTCCGCAGTCCCACCGCCTCCTCGACCTTGGCGACTCTCCAGTCCGCCGTGGGGAGCGTCGGGTTGCACATCCTAAGCATTGTTAGAATGGTTTTAGGGTCGGCTGGCTTTTCAGTGAGCCACACTCGCGCCCTCGGTTTGCTTGGGATCTCGTCCCAGTCAACCGCCACCAGCTTAGCTCCAGGGTAGACCTCTCCAAGCGATGCAACCATCCGCTTGTAGGTCTCTACCGATCACGCGTCTTGGCAAGCAATCACCTTGACGCTACCCTGATACCATCCTGCGTCTTCGCATTCTGGTGGGGGTCCTCCGCATCTCAGCATCTCCTCCACGAAGCGCCCATGCAACTCGTTTACCACTCGTCCCCAAAGTTCCTTGGGGATGAGCCCATCCTTGGAGCCCTTGTCCAGGACTCCAATCCCTTCGTTACTTCGGCTACTGCGGTTGGACGGCTGCGGCTGGGCCTTCCTCTTCTTGGCCTGGGGGCTTCTCCCTCTGTGGACCTCTGCCTTTTCGTCTGACCCAGTACGTCTATTCGGATCCAGCCTCACTCCCGCTTTTTCCGGATTAAAGTCGGGCAGGATCTCCCTTGCCCACTTAATGATCTCGGCCTGGTCCGGGTTGGCTTCGGCCGATGGGTCCGCCCTCATCAAAATGAAGGCTGCTCTTCTTCTGTCCTTGTAAGAGCCTTTCCGCTGCGTCGAGTGAGACGCTCTCGGGCCAGGGTTAGCATTAGCACAAACCCCGCCGGTTTGTTTAGAACTTGACCCTGAAGTCTTCCTCTCCACACCGTTCGGTGGTTCCATAGCTTGGTTTGGTTGATTTGGTTTCTAGTCCAAATAATAATGTGCATAATGTTGGTGCATAATGTTGTGAGTTGTTCATTGAATTAAGGTGGGAAGTTTTTGGAAAGTTGGGATAATACAATTTTTTGTCGGGTTTTTAAGTCTGTTTGTACTACTTTGTAGTTTAAACAAAGTACAACTACTACTTGTACTAAGTACTACTTTTACTGCTTTGTAGTGGTTCATGATTAATATTTATACCCTTGCAGAGGGTATTATAATTTTGTCCAATAGTGTACAACGCAGTGAAGGAGACATCTCCGACCCTATAAAGTATATAAAGGGTTTTTCAATAGAGGCGCTTCAACTTTTTTTTTGAATAAAACACAAACGGTTTGACTTTTCAACTAACATTTTTTTTTATTATCGAATTTGAACATATAAATTTAATTATGAAACTCGATTTCTTTCGCATGACCACCGCGTGCACGTTTTACGAAGTCCAATCGTTGAACCCAATTTTTAACCATTTTTTTGCAAAAGTCGGTCGAAATTCCAGCAATTTTGCGTTCAATATTGGCTCTGAGCTTTTGCAACGTCGCCGGCTTATTGGCATAGACCAATGACTTTACGTAACCCCAAAGAAAATAGTCTCGAGGTGTCAAATCACACGAGCGCGGCGGCCACTCGACCGGATCATTTCGCGAATAACACGTGGCATGTGGCCCCGTCCTGTTAAAAATAAATGTTGTTGTCCACGTCCATTCCATCCAATTGCGGCAAAAAAAAATCGCAAAACTCGCCACAATGACGACACAGAAAGGCCCAATTGTTGCGAACGTCGAGTGAGCGACACATTCGCGTCTTCTTGAATGAAGCACTGCCGGCTGCGATGTTTTCATCACTTCGAGCACTTGCTCTCACGGGCACCGGAACATTATGTAGCGAAAACGTAGACTCAAATTTTGCTTTTCAAGCAAAATGGACCGTAAAATGACCGTAATGCTCTTAAAGTAGCAGCAACAGAACGATTATTTTGATAAAAAAATTTTAGAAGTTGACCCTGAAGTCTTCCTCTCCACACCGTTCGGTGGTCCCATAGCTAG